ACCTTCAACCCATAAACTCCCTCGGGACAGAGAGACACGTCGCGCTCACTCCGAGGGATGTCGATCTCGCCCTTATTCTTAGGGGGGCGTAAGGATGTTTTTCCCTCTTTCTCACGCTGGGGTTTATAGGCCTGGCGAAGGGTGTTCGGGAGTTCTTTGCTGGAGTTTCATTGTTTACAAGAATTAGAGGGAGTAATGTTTACGGGGCGGGGGCAAGGGGTAGTGTCAGAGGGGGGGGGGGGAGGTCGTTATTTGTAGGCTTGTGGACATCGTTCGGCGGGGAGAGCGGATGGCGATGCTTTCGGTGGGCGAGAGATTTCGTCGGGGGTGGGAAAGGGCGATGGCGTGTGGCTTGCGGTGTCGGGCATTTCGCGGCGGGCTTTCGTCTCGGATGTTGTTCCATTTCTTCGTTTTTTTTTTTTCAAACCTTTATTTATTTTTTTTTTCTTTCTCTCTCTCTCTCTCTCTCTCTCTCTCTCTCTCTCTCTCTCTCTCTCTCTCTCTCTCTCTCTCTCTCTCTCTCTCTCCCTCCTTTTTTTTCCCTTCCTCTTTCCGCCCCTCCCTCCTTCCTTCTTCGCCTCCGCCATTACCATCCCCTCTCTGTCCCTCCGCCCCCCCCCCTTCCTCCCCTCCCCCCCTCCGCCCCCTCCCCCCTTCCCTCCAAACAAACGGCGCGACGAAGGGCAGGTGTGCTCCAGGTGTGCCAGAGTTGCCAACTAGGGATAATGCAGCGTCGCTTTGGCCAAATCACTTGAAGATCCTCCGAAGTTCGGCTTAAGGAAGGAGGACTTTAAGGTCACCCCCTTCTGCTCTCGTTTTCTTTCCTCCTTTGTTTTCCCTTTTTGAATTTCTTTTCCTTTTTTTTTAGTTTTTTCGTTTTTGTTTCTTTCCTTTTTTTTACATTTTTTTTCCTTTGCATTTTTTTTTACGAATTTCAGTGTGCTTTTATTTCTGTATTCGTTTTTTCTTTTTTCTTTATGTCGTCTTTCTCCCCTTATTCTTGCTTCCTCCTTCCTCTTTTCTTCATCTTCCTCCTCCGCTTCATATTCCTCCACTTCTTTCTCTTGCTTCTTCTTTTACTCTCTCTCTCTCTCTCTCTTTCTCTTTCTCTGTTTTCCTCCTCCGTTTCCTCCTCCTCCTCCTCCTCCTCCTCCTCCTCCTCCTCCTCTTCTCTCCTTTCTTCCCCCTCCTCCTTCCCTCTCCCTCTCTCTTTCCCTTCTCCTCCCTCATCAGCCGCATTCCCTGTGTCTCCACCAAGCGTGAGGGCGGCTTGATTTCTCCCTGTGCATAACGAAGGGGAAGAGGGAGAGGAAAAACACGGCGAGGAGAGGAAGGAGAAGGGAAGGAGGGAATGAGAAAATTGGGAATAATCTCGTCTTCACATCCGACAACAAAAATCAAAAGACTTTACAAAATTTAAAAAAAAGCTTCTGTTCTCCTGAATATCCCTTCTTTGGCCTCTTACTCCTTTGGCTCACCTGCGCCGAGGACGTCGCGTTGATCCTGCGACTCGAAGCTTCTAGAACGACCCCGTGACCCGCCCTCTTCGTAAGCCGTGGAGGACGCGGAGATTGGGTGTAGCGGAGTGTGGCGGAGGTTTTTTTTCTTTTCTTTTTTTTTTCTTCTTTTGTGTTCCCTTGATTCGCTTTTGTTTGTTTGTTTTGTCTGGTTGATTGTTTGATGTTTCTTTCCTCATATTTCTTCTTTTTTTCTTTTTTTTTTGGCTTCCCTCTTTTTTTTCTCTTTCTCTTCTTTCTTTCTTGTTCTTTTCTCTGTCTTTTCCTCCTTTCTTCATTTCTCGGTTTCACTCCATTTTCCCCTCATCCTCTCTTCCTTCCTTCCTTCCCTCCTTCCTTCCTTGTCTCTACCTTCTCTTTTATTTGCTCCTTAAACCTTTCTATTCCCTTTTTTAAAGATTCACTCCTCTTTCTCTTTTTCCCCTTCCCCGTTTCCCTCCTTTCCTTCCCTCCCTTTCTTTCCTTTCCCCTCCCCTTCACCCCATACACATTGTCTGACCCCCCCCCCCCCCCCCTTTGAAATCTTACTCGGAAGTTGAAATGCTTCGTTTTATTTGTCTTTTTTGTTGTGTATTTATGTTTCCTCAGGATTCGGGGGACGAGAGAGAGAGAGAGAGAGAGAGAGAGAGAGAGAGAGAGAGAGAGAGAGAGAGAGTTGGAGTTGTGTTGCAATATAGACCGTAGACACTGTTAAGCATTTATTGATATCTACACACACACACATACTCACACTCATTCACTCACTCACTCACTCACTCACTCACTCACAAACAAACCAAACATACAGACTAAACGAACGTCACACGGAAGACACCCAATCACCTTAGACACACCCGCTCCGCCCCCCCCCCCCCCCCTCCCTCCAATAAAATAAGGAAAAAAAAATAAACGAAAAGAAACTGCGCTGCTCTCCGCCCCTCCCCCCCTCCCTCCCCCCACTCCGTAACCCGAGGCTCTCCCCTCACTCCGGGCAAACTTAGCGACACCTGCTGGAGCGAGAGAGGGGAGGACACGTTCTTCCCCAGGTGTGAGGGAAGTGTGCATAAAAGGGGTTCAAGTGTGATCGGGGGGTCTGAGGGTGAGGAAGCGATGGGCAAGGGTGAGGCCAGAGGGTGGTGGGCGGACACTTTCGAAAAAAAAACAAAAAAAAAAAAAAAACAGGTGTGGTTTAGGCCAAGGGTGCGGGAAGCGTGTAGTAAGTGGCCCTGATGGAGTATCCATTTGAACGGATTGTCAGTTAAGGGAGCGGAGGGGGAGGAAGGGAGAGGGAGAGAAATGTAGATTGGGAGAGTAAGAGGAATAGAAAGACTAAGAGGAAGACAGAAAAGAGAAAAAAGGAGAGGAAGAGGAAGAGAGAGAAGAGAAAGAAGAAGAGGAAGAGGAAGAGAGAGAAGAGAAAGGAGAGGAAGAGGAAGAGAAAAAAGGAGAGGAAGAGGAAGAGAGAGAAGAGAAAGGAGAGGAAGAGAGAGAAGAGAAAGAAGGAGAGGAAGAGGAAGAGAGAGAAGAGAAAGAAGGAGAGGAAGAGGAAGAGAGAGAAGGAGAGGAAGAGAGAGAAGAGAAAGAAGGAGAGGAAGAAGAAGAGAGAGAAGAGAAAGAAAGAGAGGAAGAAGAAGAGAGAGAAGAGAAAGAAAGAGAGGAAGAGAGAGAAGAGAAAGAAGAAGAGGAAGAGAAAGAGCGATAAAAAAGAGAGAACAATAAGGAGTTGTCTTTTTTGCTCCCATCCATTGAAAGGCCGAGGAAGACAAGGAGATAAAGGCATACAAAGAGAGAGATTGAGAAGAAAGGAGAGGCGATGAGAGCGCCGGGCATTGTTAGGTATTCCTTTAAGAAAAAGGATCGGAGGATTGTGGAGGTTCGAATTCACTCCGTTGGAATAAACGACTTTGCGAAACGAAAAAAAAGAAGCAGAGAAAAGAAGAAGAAGAAGAAAAAGGAAGATTAAGAGACTTAGAAGATTCATTAGCAGCTCAGAAATCAACGGAAATTGTTTGCATTAAAAGGTAAAAAAAAAAAAAAAATGAATATCAAGTCGATTTCCGGGGATATAATCTTTATTCATAAATTATCAACCAACTGACCCTCCTGCATAATCAATAGAAAAAACGAGCTCTGAATAAAATACTTCTCTGATTAACATTTATATTAGAAGGAAAACATAAAAAAAAGACACACGCGGAAGCTTTGGGTGATAACCGCAAGAAATAAGAAAGAAAAAAACGAGATTAAAAAAAAATACGTGGTAAAGAATAAAATAAAAGAGCAAATAAAAGAAATGGGAAAATATATTAAACGAAAAATACAGATGATAAAAAAGGCAGAAAATAAATAGAGAGAAATTAATGAACAGACAGACGGAATAAAAAATCCGTCATTGGGCAAAAACCGTACAATAGACAAAGATGAAAATAAAAACAAAACCAAATGAAAAACAGAGAGAAATAAACCCAATTAGGAAGGAGAAATTAGCAGACACCCCCCCCAACTCCCCCCGCGCACCCCCCCCCCCCCCCTCGCTCCCGGAAGTGCAGGAGGGAAGGACACGCTCTTGGCGACGGCGAAGGAGCAGCGGCGAGAAGGAAGGCCTTGGAAGCATCCGAGCGGCGAGCGAAGCTAAAAGGGATCAGGTAGCAGAAAATCGCTTAAAGGCCCTTAAGGTAAAGGAAAATTTCCCGCTTATGGGGAGGGGCGGGAAGGGAGGGAGGGAGGGGAGGGGAAAGGGAAGGAGGGAAGGGAGGGAGGGAGGGAGAAGCGGAGGGACGGAAGGAAGAACATAAAAGAAAGGAAGGATAGAAAAGGAACTAAAGAGAGAGAGAGAAAGAGAGCGAATAAGAGAAAGAATGAAATGAAAGATAGTGAGCGAAAGAAAGATGACAATAAAAAAAAAATTGGAACCGCGGCACGAAAAGGATTAATAACAATGCAGCTGATTATCCTTCTCTATTTCGGGCGAAAATACAAGAAAGGAAGTTTAGTCATTTAACAAGTTAAGTGGCGGGGGCGGGCCGGGAGCGGAGAGAGAGAAACTTTGGCTAACGAAGAATGGCAGCGCACAATGAGGGTAATTGCAAGCTCAACAGCAACTGTCTACAGCAACTTTTAACGAAAGAAAAACATATGCACTCATTCAGTCGTCGTGTCTCTTTCTATGTCTATGTCTTTGGTTTTGTTTCCTTTGAGTGTTGAATTTTCACAAGTTCAAGTGTCTCTGTTCTCATGTAATGTATTTTTTTTCAGTTTTGTTTTTGTTATTAATTTTCATTGTTTAAACTCACAAAACTGAAGTATCTATACTATATGACACATTTTTTTTTTTTTACTTTGATTTCAGAACATTTAAGTATGTACTCTTGTGTTGCTCTGTTAAAATTATTTTTGTTGTTATTGCTTTTTTAATGTTTCTTTTGAAGATTATCTATGTACTCTTGTGATTTTTATACCTGAAGCACGCCACGAGTTACAGCAAAGTTAATGTAATATCTGTAGCTTCCGATGTGTCTGCAGAGTGCCCTTCCACGGAGTACGCCATCCCGCACATGAGCGGCGAGGCGGGGGCCACAGGGGGGTACCCGCCCCCTCTCCCGCACTCCAAGCCGCCCCTCCACACCCTCAACACCTTCCTCGGCAAGCCCCCGCCCACGCCCCTGCCGCCCAACGCCGCCCAGCCTCAGGAGAGCTTCTACGCCGCCACCGAGATCGTTGCCGTAAGTGATGTGGTAAGAAGAACCCCGTGTTTTGTAAGTGCCGGCCCGTAGGTGTAGCATGGGCGATGTGTGTGTAAGGGGGGGGGGGTGAAGTCAGGCTTTGATTCAGGGGGGGGTATACTTAAGAGGATCGGTCACTGCATAGGTCACATTGAGTTACTGTAAAAGAAGGTCCAAGTCACAGTAGGTCACTAAGAACCAGGTCATAGCATAGGTCACAAAGAAGAACTAGGTCATAGCATAGGTCACTAAGAAGAACAAGTTCATCACAAAGGTCTGCATAGATTACAGTAAGTCAAGGAGAAAATTCAGGTCATGGCATAGGTCATAGTTACGTAACCTAAATCAAGTGGGTTATGTAGAACTGGAGGGTCACCCTCGACCCTTGATGGTGAGAAGAAAAAAGAGCAAAAGAGAGGAAGGAGAAGGAAAAAGGGAGAGAGGTTGAAAGAGAGGAAGATATGGATATAGGGTGAGGGTAAGAGGGACGGAAGAAGAAGAGAGGGATGCGGGCGGGATGACGCAGCACCAGTGACCAGGGCGAAAGCAGGCGGGTTTTCACCGTAGAGTTTTATGGTTGCAATCTTGTCTTGGGACGTTTATGGATTTCGATAATGTTAGGGCGGTGATCGGCGAAACATTTCGGTAATTTTTATGAGTCAAGGAGATTGGCAATTGAAAGAAAATATCGCTGCAGACGTTTTACTGCGGTTTGAAGGTAGGGATTACTTAAATGTTTAGGTTTTTGAATTGAAGGGGAGATTCTGTGATTCTCGTTCTGCTTTAAAGAGGAGGGAAATTTTGATATAAGAGGAATACGTTTAGACATTTAGACATCTGTAGCAAAAATTGAATTGTTTGTACTTGATTAAAAAATAATAATAATCACCTTGATATTAACTTATATCATTTATAACTTTATTCCGGTTTCTTATAGTCGTAAGTCAAGTCTTGACCCGATGTTATTTTTCTCTGTCAGTCTATCCCATTCTCCGCTTACGCTCTCTTCCCCAATCTCTCATTTCTTATCGTCTTCCCAGTCTCCAAAACCCTTTTACCTCTTCCGTATCCCTGACCTTTATTCTAGAACAAGCTTCCCCTCGTCCAACAGGGCAGCAATGGCACAGCAGGGGGCCGGCAGGGGCAGCAGGGCCAGCAGGGGGCAGCAGGAGCGGCGGCCACCCTGGAGAACGTGACCGCCAGGGAGATCCCGAGGAGCGCCATCACCCTCCTGCAGCAGATCGGGGAAGGCCAGTTCGGGGAGGTCAGTCGGCCGGTCTGTCTCTGGGCCCTTTTGCTTTAGTTATCCCTGTGACTCTGAATGCATGACAGGAAAAAAAAAAAACGAGAAAGAAAATTAGAGAGAGTGCATTTCCAAGATAGAATTATATTAGAAAATGAATATGAATAAAAGATAAAGCAAAATAAACGATATTAAAAAAAAATCTAGTTCATAAGGAAGTGCAAATGTAATTGTTTAAGGCCTTCTTCCCGTTCAGGTTCACTTGGGCGAAGTCGAGGACGAGGAGGGACAGAAGCAGATGGTTGCCGTGAAGACATTGCGATTGGAAGCCTCGCACTCCGTCAGGTTAGGATGGTTTTAGAAAGTCCCTTCTATCATTTGGATTCTCTTCATTTCCATCTTCCCAGAATAATCGCTCAAGCTTTCTTTATCACACACATGTGTCCCCCCCCCCCCACTTTTCCCAGAAATCTCATTCGTAGAGAGATTTCTTCCATCATTGCTGCTTTTGAAATATTATCGATTTGTTTTCTTTAAATCCATTCCAAAAAAAAGGCCGTCGCCATAAAAGACACCTACACATCTTCAGATTTCTCTCATTTTCCTACTGACCTCCATAGGCGTTGCTTCATTAGTAACTCTTGATTCTCGCTCGAAGTTAATGGTATGAATGCTACGTTATGGATGTTCTTGGGGTGGTAGAGCGTGTGGGTGGAGAGGTAGAGAGAAAGGTAGAAAGTGGGAGAGAGAGGTAGAAAGAGGGAGAGAGAGAGAGAGGGAGAGAGAGAGCGAAAGAGGGAGAGAGGGAGAGAGAGAGAGAGAGAGAGAGAGAGAGAGAGAGAGAGAGAGAGAGAGAGAGAGAGAGAGAGAGAAAGAGATGTAGAAAGAGGGAGAGGGAGAAAGAAAGTGAGAGAGAAAGAGAGAGAGGGGGGGGGGGGGGAAGAGAGAGAGAGGGAAATAGAGGGAAAGAGAGAGAGAGGGAAAGAGAGAGAGAGGGGGAAAGAGAGAGAGGGGGGGAAAGAGAGAGAAAGGGGGAAAT